TAATTTTAAAAAATAAAAATCCAAAACTAGAAGGAAATACACCAATTGGATAAGACGAAAATGTTACACTATACCCAAACTTAAACACCTGAGGACAGGCACTTTTCTAATGGTTGGGGAAGTGACATATCCATAGTCGCAGTCGCACCCACCCTTTAATATAACTTAGCACATAAGCACAAGTATAAACATTGCCAAACTTGTAAACAAAGAGCCTAGTGATAACATCGACATTGGCCAAGTTCAAACTGTACCCCCTTGGTAGACATAAACAATTCACGCCAACAATATCACGCCACTTTCAATGTTCCCACCATAGCATTATCCCACGCATAATTGCTGACGCAGCTCAAACTTCACTTAATTTTGACTCAAGCTCTCTCAAAGCGAGTTTGCTAAGCGACCGCAACAGTTATTAGTTAGTTCATATTCGGGAGACAATCTGAATGTACTCAAAAGAAGTAGACGTTAGAGAAAATAATAAATTGAAATATATTTTTTTAAAGTAACTAAACGTGTAAAACTTGACTATATATGCAAATAAAAAATTAAAGATAAAAACAGCACATTATTATAATAAATTTTTTGAACATATAAACATTTTAAATTTTATGCACACATATTTTTTAATTTTATATATTTCATATAAAACAAAAAAGCAGGAGAGAAACCTTAACAACAAAATTTTATTATAATTAAGTTAATTAAATAACTACACATTTAGAGTGTTATTCCTCTAAAAGGGGAGGTGTAGTATGTACATGCCTTCAAAATAACACCCTTTATTCCATTATAAAGTATGCGGCACTTTGTTGCATACAATAACAATTATACATTTAACAAGCCCAGAGCCACTTTATGTATTGGCTTCGGCTCGTATTACGAAGCGCGTTTCACTAGCCCTCAAATTGCTCACTAACACAGGCATATTGAAGCTACACACTCTCTCTCTCTCTCTATCTTTGTAGCTGTTAACTAGTAACAGCATAAGTATATTCATGTACACATAGGTTAAGCATGAATCTTAAAACGGAAATACATTCTAAAAAACATGCAGAACAGCACTGGCGTGCTTTGTTACATCTTACAAAAGTATGATAATCACTTACGCTTCAATCAGACTTCACAAAATGAAAATTTTGCGGAAAGCAACAACATCCCCAACCAAAGAAACGGAATCCGTTTGACACCGGTTCTACCGCTTCTTACATAAACAAGTGCATCTATGATAATGTAGAAGAATTAGTTATTTAAAATAAGCGGCTACAGTAGTATAACACATTTTCATAATATAAACATAGTTGGCAAATGTCACAGATTTTATGAAATTGACAATTTTAACGGAGATAATCTACCGATAGAGAATAAGGAAGTATCGACTTAGTAAATGGAACTTTGCATTATGACAACAAAACAGAAAAAATAAATTTTTTACATGTCCAAGAAACGGTTTGCAAATTAAACAGTTCAAACGAAGCTTATAACGTTGCCGCATATTTGGACTACCAAAATAGAAAATGTAAAACATTTTCTCAATTTAATGTATCCGATACAAAATCATCGTCATTAAGAGACGGTGACAATAATCTTAAGGAGCAATAGCAAAAGAAGAAAAAATGTCAAAGAGAGCAAACGTCGAAAGGTGTCGGTACCCTCTACGACAAGTTGCTCTTTAAAAAAATCATTCCATTAATGAAATGGATAATTTGAATATTCTGGGGCAAAAAGTCGTACAAAAACTAGAAACAAAGAATGTCTCCTTTTTTGAACAGATATAAGACGAGAGAACATTCAACGAGAATGTAATTTACAGTCCTTATTCACAGCTAACCATTTTGTTAGGCAGGAAACATAATGAGGTCCAGCAGTAGACCTTATAACGGCCCGGTATATTTAATAGAAAAAAAGAGTTTTAATGAAGATGAATTCAAAGAATGGGTTGGTCATGGATTTCCAAAAACTGGATAACAACACAATCCTCGATGGGTATCTGTCAGATCCTTGTCAGATCCTCATCATCACCTAACCTAGGCAAAGCGTGACTCTTTTTTAATGATTGATTTAGAATCTGAATGTCATCAGATTCTATAAAAGAAGAACCCATCGAGAAGAAAAAAAAAAAAAGGCAAATAAGAAAATATCCCTGGAAAATCAAAAATATTTAGAAAGGAAATATAATTTTTAGAATACATAGTTTTACACACCATTATTTTAAGTTATCCTAAAAAAAATGAGATCTATGAATTGAAGGCATTTATGAAGTTTTTTTTTATTAAGCCGGCTGTTCAGAAAATATATAAAAAATTACGCGACCATAACAGAGATATATATATAGTATGCTTTTGAATACCTAAAATCATATTTAATTGCAAAAATGGAACTAATCCAAATAGATTATCCAAAAAGGTTTGTTTTTACTACGGACGCTTACGACATCCCCATTGGCGGCGTACTTTCGCAGAAAAACAAAACAAACACATTCGTTTCAAAAACCCTAAGTAAAACAGAAGGAAATTGCGTCCCAAATGAAAAGGAACTATAGTTGGGTGTTAGGAGTTTCCTGTATTGCGTTCTCGCAAGAAATCCTAACTCAAACATGAAGAGATAGCATGCTTTTATAGAGGAATTTGTCCCTAAAAGATATTACAAACGAGGATCAACCAACGTCGTCGGTGACGCCTTATTGAGGGTAGTGATTAATCACATTCACATTCTAATGAAGATAATCACGGTTGTGAGAAGAACCTTTGTTCGATAACAAAACTATTCATTCAGCCGTAAGTACCTATAAAAACGTACTTGAAGAAACCAACAAATCCTTGAACCAATTAAGCAACAATTACTTATTTTCAAAAACGAAATCATAATTCACAAAAAATACAAAGTATTCAACCAAAAATGGCATATAATAGAATACGGCAAAGTTAATAACCATACATAATGCGTTGGTCACCATTCCGTCGGTCTGGACATAATTACATATAATTGAGATTGTGTTGGTTTTTGTTTTATGGTTTCCGGCCGACCTTCAATATAGTGGCCGCCCCTAGAAAAAGATATCTGCAACAAATCGTAGGCAAAGTACAGCGTGCTGCTGATCTACTCATTTTAGCTCTGCAAACCACACGCTATGATGCCCTGAATACCATGCTTCATATCCTTAAGATTGACCTAAATACGGGACGGAAACATTTTTTTTTAAACACATAATGCCGATAGGATGGCTACAACATTGTCTTTTCACGAAATATAGGGCTATCTATATATATTTGTTGGCGTAGAAAAAACCCTTTTTAAACTTTTAACGACGTCATTAGAAGCCCATAACATATGAAAAGCACTAAAGTAATACTCAACCTTGTAGAAGATGCTGCTTAGCAAAAAAAATACATTAAAGAATTAACTAGTAATCAATTTCTAACCCAAACTGAAATGATACTATTATAAATAATCTTTAGGAATAGATATTAGCATTAAAATTTTTTAGCTACTGTTAAAAATTGAGTTTAATCCAAACTTATTTACAGCCTATACATAAACTACAGCTGGTTTTACTTAGAAGAAAGCGCAACGCTTTGTTTGTTTGTTTGGCTGTGTAGCACTCCACGAAACTTTTTTATGAAACCAAATAAAGTCTCGCGCCAAAGTGTGAAATAAAAAATGCACGGATCGTCCACGGCTAAGTTTACCAAGGTCCCGCAAACGTAAATTCGCCAAGTGCGTTTTAATACCCTCAGCCCTTTTTGTGTAAATATGTATAACAAGCAGAAAAAACCACCAAAAACATAAAGTATACAAAATCTTACTCAGCATCAATAACTGCATCATTGAAACATTAAAGACATACAATTTTGAGCATAGGTTATCTTAGTGTCCGAGTTTGTTTTACATTCAACTTGTTCCCATATCAAGCAAACAATAAAAATCAAATTCGAATCAATTCTCGTATGTGATCTTAGATAATCTCGTTTCCACAATATAGAAAAAAGGAACTAAAGTAAAAGCCTTGCTAAATTTCATTGAGATCGGACAATTAACTACGAGCTTAATTACGAATGTGTTTTATAGAGTGGGCGACTAGGAAAGAAGAATCTCAGCAGCAGCATAATTTGCTCTTCAAGAGGTGTGCGTGCGGACAAGAGCGGTCTTACTTGTTTATCTTACGGCTTGAGGTGGGAAGTTCACAATCCATTACTGACGTGACTTTATCCAGCTCATTATAAATCAGGCTGATCCTTAGTAAAACCCCGACTCAAAAGTGAGGCCTCTTGAAGCAGAACAGAATTCTGCAGCAATTGTAGATTTTATGTTTTTCGGCCAAGAGCTCATTAATAACAAATAACGACTACTCTGTGAATAAGCCTCTGGAATGCCCGTAGCATTTCTTAGCGGAAATATGAGCCCTTAAACACGCCATAATGATATATTGAAAAAAAAACTTACAGCCATAATAAATTAACTTGTTGTGGAAAATATTACACTCGCAATTGCAATTCCATTTCTAGAGTGTTTTTCGCTTGCTGTCAAGTGGTTTGCCAAACATCTTCTTTAATAACTTCTTTGTTTCTGTGTTCAAGCGCATTCAAATTGTTGGTTAAATTAATGAGTAATATTGTAATTGCGATAGTATTGTTTTGCTGTGCTGTGTATGTAAAACTATTAAATTGTTTTGTGTTTTAACGGAAAAAAATTGTTAGTGTAACCTTTTTTAAATTAATATTTTAAAAACATCAAGACTTGTAGCACGAGCTGAGTTTCCTTTTACCGAACCAAACATTTGTCGCTTTACTTTAATAGGTGATTGCACACAAAAATTGTATTCAAATGCTTTCATATGTATGGCAACTTGAGAAGAAATAAATTGATGGGATGATGTTGAAACCTACTGCGAACAAAATAAATGCTGCTAAGCTATATTTCTATAAGTGTTAAATTAATTGTAAGCTTAAGATTTTATAAATATTAAAATAAGGTTCTGTGCGGTATAGTGGGAAGCTTACTTTTTTTAGATTTTTCGCATTCTTTTGGACGCCTGCGCCGTGTATGAATAGTATCACGTCTCATAGAATGGGGTCTATTAACGCCATGAAGCTTGAAGTATAACCCACAAGCGTTGCAAACCATTTCTCCTCTTACGCTCCGTCTCCAAATTGTTGTTGTCAGTGTACCACAATTAGAACAAGACATATCCTTTTGAGAAGTAGATAGAGCAGCAGTGCTGCTACATTTTATGCTCTGGAAAATTTGTTATACCTAAATTGGTATGTACTTTAAAATAGAAGTATGTTAATACCTTCTTATCTGTTATTCCTTCTGTATTTGCATTAGACATATTTTCTGGATGAAGACGAGTATCGGTGTCTGTAATATCTGGAGATTCCTTGCAATCTGTTTTAGTAGGAAAACTCTGCTTTCTTCTACATATTTTGACAACATTCGGTTGCGATTCAGGCATATCCTATCCAATAAAACGTAACTTTAATCAAAATTTTTATTTAATGATTTTTTTTACCTTTAAAAGTGGTATAGGTTCTTCAGGTACTTTTGTCAATGCAATGGTTGACGGCACAGGAAATCCGTAAGTGTGACTCATCATATTCCGTAAAAGCTGTGTTGCGCGACTTTCATCTTTATTTTTAGCTAAAACAATAAATTATTAAATGTATATATTAAGCAATTTTTTTTATATTTGTAATTTTAAATATTTAAGTTTTCTGTAAGAGCAGCAAGTCGATAGGTTAAAAATGCGCTAGGTTTGCAAGATCTGGTGTTTTGCAACACTACTAATTATTCGCATTTATATCTTAATTTAATTACTTTACAACTATCCAAACATTGCAAGTCTATTTGTGTTTCGAATAAGTAACCGACTATTAGCTCTTAGTGTGAGCTACATTTGGTTGTTAGTAGAAGAGGGTTCAGGGTATCCCCTAGTCGGGAACATACAAATGGGCGGACGGACATATCTAGATCAACTCTGATATTGATGCTGATCAAGAATATATACTTTACTTTTACTACGGAGATGTCTCCTTCTATGCGTTACTTATTTTACGACAAAATTATAATACCCTCTGCAAGGGTATAACCAAAGACAATATAAACACTAAGATGAGTAACGCCATACAACAAAATGCTACTATGGAGCTTGATTTTTTGAAAATTGAGAACGAAAACGAAATCTGTTGCATTGCGCTCTCACAGCCGAGAGAACGAAAAAGCTAAAAATAGAATGTGTTCTCAGCATCGGCTCTATGAGGGCCGTGCAAGCAATTAAGTTTGTATGCGTGTGAATATACATACATAACATCATATTTGAATGTGTTGTACCCGAAAGGCCTGCTCTGGCAAAGTCTCTGGCTGGCAAAGAAACAATTTTCTTAGTTTTTAAGCGCAGATCACGACCTACCCTATCGATTACATTCTGTGCTCCATATTCTTAAAGCTTGGCGCCCTTGTTGGCATAGAGTTGCAAGTGCAATATCTAAATTAAATTAATAAAATATCTAACTAAAATAACTAATTGTATTTTTTAGCAGTTTTGTTTCTTGATTGGAGAATAAAAATAATATTAATTTAATTTAAAGAAATTATGTAAATATTTGCATCGACATAAAAATACATATTTTGAACGGAGCCAACCTCAGTACACAAAACGCATTCATATATCAACACAAATTTGGGATAGGTCATGATCTGCGCTAGAAAACTAATTTCTTGGCAGCTAAAGCCAGAGCAGTGAATAACAACACATATATACATATTTTGATGTATGCATGCGTAATTCACGCATACAACAAAAGGTGCATGCACGCTATTGGCTGAGACAATAAATTTTCTCGAGCAATCTAAGTGTGCTATTTTCTTAACATAGTTATTGCGCAAGAAGCGCCTTATGTAAAAATTATATAAGTTCTTATCTTTTCCTGTAAAATTAATCGTTAATATCTAGAGTAACATATAATTTAAATAAAGCATGCATTTCATGGATAAAGCACAAGCACTTTGCGTCGATCGTAAGTTCTAAACTTTTTCGCTCAATGTACTTTGAAAACGAAGCGACGCAAAGCAGTATCGACCAGCTTTGCTGAAGGCAGGCAACAATCTTCGAAGCTCGTGTCAGCATCAGCAAGCCGCGACTTCGGCATTCGTCGTCTTTGGAGACCGAACAACAGGTCGGCAGGCATGCCGTACGAAGCCTTAAAGGTCAGATGAAAGGCCAGGCTAGAAATTTTGCGTCGCAATCAAATGTATGGGCGTTATTCATCTTAGTGTTTATATTGTCTTTGGTATAACTAGTACTATCTCAGAAATGGGAACTAACCTGACAATGGAAGATATGAATATAAACTTGACTTGGCTAAATATTCCATAGCCAAGTCGAACTTCTTTCTTCTGAATTCTCAATGCTATGAGAATTATCTAACTCGTTGTAAAAGGCAATTTCCCCAAAATCCGAGAGTGTTTTACAATTTTGTAAACTTTAAGCGAAAATCTTCAAGTTTGCCATCTTCTTTTTCTCAATGATTCTGATTCTGCTAACCTCTTTGCTAATTTTTTTTTCCAATCAAGTTAATCTTCAGCCTGTCCTAGTACTAATTCTTACCCTTATACCATTTCATCCTCTAGTTTAATACCCTCTACCATTATTTCACACTCCTCTCTCCTTTTAGCTATAAACTCTTTAAAATCATCTTAGTCTCATGGGCCTGACAATATTCCTAGCTGTCTACTCAAGAAAGGTAGTTATTCACTTCTTTGTCCATTGCTAAAGCTTTTTAATCTATCCCTTGAATCTTTTGGCTTTCCATCTCTTTGTAAAGAATTTTTTATCATGAATCTCAATAAAAAAGATGGAAAGTCTGATATACAAAATTACAGGGGCATTGCAAACCCGCTATTTCTAAAATTTTTGAAAAATATTCACAGCCTTTCTGCAAATCAGTTATTTCCCCTGTTCAACATGTATTCGTAAAGAATCGGTCACAACCAATCTGCTAGAGTTTACTTTCTTGGTAAATGTCCTTTCGAAAATGCAAGCTGCTGTAATTTTCACTGACTTCAGTAAGGCGTTTGACTCTGTCCACCACCTCAACATTTTACTTTTCAACTTGACCGAATAGGTTTCACTTCGTCTCTTGTGCTATGGATTAATTCCTATTGAAAAGGTAGGACCCAAAGAGTAATGTTGAGGCTGACAACGTTACTTCTGGTGTTCCTCAAAGTAGTTTTCTTGGACCTTTACTCTTTACTCTTTTTATAAATGATCTCCCCTCTGTTATATCACCTGCCCGTGTATTCATGTATGCGGACGATGTGGGCTTTCTTTTAGATTCTAAACTCAACTTTAATTTGCATATAGATACCATTTTTAATGAATCAAAAGAAGTACTTGGATTCATAAATCTTGTTTGCCGTATCCTTAAACACTGCTCTTGCATTTGGTCTCCGCAGTATAACAATAGCCAGGACCGTATTGAATCTGTTTAGAAGCAATTTCTCCTCTTTGCCTTACGAGGTTAAATTTGGGACCCTAAGCTTCGGGATTTAGTTATTTTTTTTTATTTATTTATTAATGGTCGACAAAACGAGCGTATTCCTCATTATTCAGTAGATTATACAACAGATAAAAGAATTATATGCAAAAAGCCTAGTTAACGAATACAATTTTCTAAATGCATCACCGATCGATGGAGGTGTTTTATTTGCCAGTCCGGCCAGCTGTGCCCCTTTTCACAGCTAATTTTGTCAGTGACGCTATTAGAGCCTACATCTAAACAGAAGGTTGTAAGTAGGTAAAAAGTGTTCTTAAGTAAAATTAAATATAATCCTAATTTTCTATATTAATAAAGAAAATACAATAAATAGGAAAAAAGAAAGTAAGATGATTGTTAATAAAGTAAAGCAATGTAAGTTAGATGAACAGTGTTAAGTAGATAGGACAAAGAGAGAAGTTATGGGAAATCACCGACCGGTGGGGGAAAATTTTTTAGCCTGTCCGGCTAGCTATGCCCCAGCTCATAGCTGGGAATGGTCAGCGATTTCCCGAAGGTATACTGAAAGCAACGATTTTATTAAGGGTAGAGAGAGTTCGGTAGAGAATACGTGATGCAAACTATTATAATTTTTACATAGCACGCGAAAACGATTGTGCATAGCGTAGTCTGTTGTGCACGTAGATAGGAATAAGGGGCGATAATTTCTGGTTGGTCTAGCCGGAACAGAGAATTGAAGACGCCCTAGCAGAAAAGGAGAATCTATGTCGCAAAAATCAACTTATGTAGAAGGACAACACCGAGAATTGTCCTACGTTTGGTTAACGACGGAAGGTTGAGAAGAAGTCTGCTGGAGTAGGATGGCAACCGAAGATTAGGTTCCCAATTTAAACCTCGTAAGGCAAAATGCAGAAATTGTTTTTGAACAGATTCAATACGATTGTTATACTATTGTTATACTGTGGAGACCATATGCAAAAGCAGTATTCAACTTACTCATGCAGGCTGCTTCTTCTTAATCTTCAGTCGTTAACCAACCGTAGGACAACTCTCGGCGTTGTCTTTCAACATAAGTTGATTGTTGGCGATATAGAATCTCATTTTCTGCTAGGGCGTCTTCAATTGTTTGTTTACCTACCCCTAATAAAATCGATGCTTTCAGGATACCTTCGGAAAGTCACTGACCATTCCTACCTATGAGCAGGGGTATTGCTTGCCGCACAGGCTGTAAATTGATTTCGGTGATTTCGCATTACTTTTCTCTTTGTCCTATCTACTCTATACATCTAGCTTACATTTCTTTTGTATTTGTCTATTAATATAGCCAATTAAGATTATTTTTAATTTTACTTAAGAATACTTTCTTCTGCTTAGATGTTGGCTCTAATAGCGTCACTGACAATATTAACTGTGAGAGGGGGACAGCTGGCAAATAAAACACCTCCATCGGTCCGTGATGCTATTTAAAAAATTATGTTCTTTAACTAGGCTTTTAGCATATAGTTCCATTATATATTGTAAAATCTATTAAAAAATGACGAAGACACTCGTTTTGAGCTCCCGACTAGGGAATACCCTGAACATTCCTATTCCAACACCAAATGCAGTTCGTGCAACATGCTTGTTTGAAGTAACAAAAACAAAATTAAACAAGTAAGAGGTTCTAGTCGGGAGCTCCCGATTAGGGTATACCCTGAACCCTCTTCTTCCAACATCAAATGCATATATATATATATTCTATTTTAGAAGCAGTATGTCAAGTTTGGTGACTAGCTCTTATTATTTACCAAACTTGTCCAAACAGGATATCGATATCGATTTTTATCGATTGCTTGGAAACGGAGTAAGTTATCAATTAACGGAAGCAAGCTCGATCTACGCAGGCACTAGGAGCACCTACATCTAAAAAGTCTCTAGCTCTTATAGGTTCTGAGATCCTTGCGTTCATACATACGGACAGACGGACAGGCAGACAGACGGACATGGCTAGACCGACGCGGCTATTGGTGCTGATCAAGAATATATATACCTTATAAGGTCGGAGATGCTTCCTTCTGCCTGTTACATACATTTGGATTATGCACGAATACAATATACCCTTATACCCGATTTTGATGGGTACAGGGTACACAAAAAAAATTTCCC